GGATTTTCTGATAACTGTTTAACAAGCTGTTTTTCAATGGATATTAGGGCTAAATTAGAGAGTCTCTCTTCACTTGTTGAATTTCGTATAAAACTTTTAATGCACTTTAAAGCTGAAAAACTTCGCTCAATTGATGCACTTGTGGCTGGGATGGTTAGTACTAATTCACACAGCTTGACTACTTCACAAAAGGACTTATTTAAACCAGCTGTTATAAGAAAATTTAACACATTGATGGGCGTCTTTTTATCACTAATTTCAGTTGTTTTATAAACAACACTTAACTGGACTTTAATGCTGGAATATTTAAAAAAATTCCATAATTTAATTTAAGTGAATTAAAAGCTTCCGATGGAAATTTTGATGAATCGTATTTACTAATATTAAAATTGCACAATTCAACAAATTTTAATTCGTTAAAGTTTTGAAATCGAGAAATCAATAATTTCGGCGCCTCTCTGTCGCCAATATTATCAATTTTAATTCTCTTTCTTTCAGGTTCCTAAGCCAATGTTTTGAGTCTTATTCCAAAAGTGTTCAAACTGATCTCGTTTTTTATTAATTTTATTTTTAAAATCATCAATTTGTTTAATGCAAAAGCCAATGTCATTTGACTTTGTAAAATATCGAATAAAATGTCAGTAAAAGGGAAAATCTCTGCAAAAATGTTGAGCAAAAAATTGAAACCAAAGTTTTGTTTGAGCCAATGCCAATACCCTTTAGCGGTAGTAACAGTTTCAGCATCCCATGTTTCTTTATTATCCCAAACGTCTTGAAAAAAGTGTATCAAAGAATCTCGGTACTGAACCACTGTTTGCACTAAACGTCCATTGTAGTTTCATCGCGTCAGAGCAACTTTTGGAAACCTTCTTTGAACATGAACGTCCAAAGCGCGAGTTCTTTTCGATTACTTTGAAAAGAAGGAAAGCCAAACCACTAAGCGTCGAAAAGAAGACTTTGCAGTCTTTAATATTATCCATGCTTCGCGATAAAACCAAATTAAGTCTATGTGCTATACAATGAACGAAAATTGCATGTTTAAACTTCTCTTTCACTTTAGCTTGAAGGCCCCCTAAATGACCAGCCATTACGGCAGCACCATCGTAGCTCTAGGCAACAAGCTTAGAACCACATTCTAAGCTTTAAATAATGCCACAAACAATTTTAAACAATGCATTTGCAGTGACGTCCAAAAATCCTAAGAATCGCTCTTGAGGAATGGCATCCAATACATATCGCACAACAATGGATAATTGACTTAAGTTTGCTACATCTGTGGTTTCATCAAGCGCAATTGATACGAAAGGTGCTCTTTTAATTTCACTTTTAATGTGATCCATCACAACGTCGGCAGTGCATTTAATTAAATCATTTTGTATTCTGTTTGAGGTACCTCGGAAAGTCGTCGAATCAATAAAATTATTTTTTTAAGGTATCATCGTATTTTGCTAAAAAACTTAGAAGGTCTTTGTAATTTCCTCGATTGGCGGATCCACTTGCTTCATTATGACCCCAAAACTTAGTTCATGCTCCCCCAGGATACAAGTTACATCTATTAATCGTTGTAAGACGTCCTTATTTTTTTTACTGTTTCATTGTGAATTTTGTTGCTAATTTTTAAATGATTGTCCAAACTATGTTCAATGCGATAGTTCCCGAATGTTTTTTCTTCAATTGAAGCACTTATATGAGATTTGCTAATTACATGTCGTTTTACACTTTTGTGAAAATTATTCAAGTCTGTAATACCGACTGAGTTCCTATGTGTCTTTTCGGCTATATTAAAAAGTAGGCAAGGCCAGCTAAACAATTTCTTCAAAGTTTTGCAGCCGGTTAACCATTCATACTTTTCATAGAACCCTACGTGAAAATGCCTGGTAAATTTCTTTGCTGACTTTTCTACTTTCGTCTCTAAATTGGTAGGATCCTTAAGTATACTAGAATTAATAATGTCTATTTTCTCTTCAAAATTTCTACTTGAAAATCCTTTTTTCAATAAAGAGCAAACAATACAGACACAATTTACCACATTATTATTGTTCACAGACACAGTATATAGTTCCTCCATTTTACAAAAAGAAAAACAACTACGAAAAACAAACCGAATTCTGTCTGAAGTCTATGATTTTCCTCACACGTCGATTCGCGGTGCGAATTGCAATATGCGTAAGGCGACGTAAAAATCGCTGCCTCGTGACCGTATTTCACGTCCGTAAACAGACTGAGTACTATCGCGCCAAAGCAGGGTTAATAACACGAAGGAAATTAATTGGAAGATAAGCCGGTATTTTTAAGAAGCTCTTCCGCCGACGGACTCGAAGTATAGGGCGTTTGCGTTTACACAATTAATTTTCTCTTGGGTGGTGCGTCCGTTTACACATTACACCAATGATCTTTATATACCATTTTCAAAGGGTAATACCTTATTCAAGTCACACATTATATCTGGGCAACGACTTTTCAATAATTTTCCTCCTCATCTTAAATTTTGTAAATCTGTAAATTCATTTAAATTAGCAATAAAACAATTTTTACATGAGGGTGGCTTTTATTCCGTAAGTGAATTTTTAAATGTCTAAATCTTTTAATTCTTTTCTCTTTAAATGTATCGTGTGTTAATAGCAAAGATGTTTGAAGCTCAAAGTTGTCGTTAGTTGGGATGACATAAACCTGCCGTCTGAAGCTCATGATATGTGCATATTCATCTTCTGGGATGCCTGCTTCAGGAAAGATATGGGTGAAACTAGATGAAGTCCAAAATCAATTAAAGCTTTTTCAACTAGTTCATCAGGTATTGAGGGGCATACATTCGATATTAATATTCGCTTCGCTGGAGTAACTAATCTTCTTATTGGTAAAGCCAGTGAGTTTACGTATATAGTTGGGTGATCCCTTATGAGTTGGTCGACCAGCTCAGTTTTTGATAGATACAAATTCTGTTGTTTGAAATTTTTGAGGCAAAGCAAACATTTTTTGGACTGACTAGATCACCAATAGCCTTAACATAATCGAAAAGAACGAGATTCTGGTGTGAATGGATAACTATTGCTTGTTCCTTTTTTGGGAAGACTGGTTTAGGTCTTGATTTTGCAGCTGTTACATAAGAGCCTGAAGGTACATTATTGTTGCTTTCTATCATTGTATTGATGGTTACATTAGGGGAAGGTTGACTAGAGTTGCCGCCCTTGTAGTCAAAAGCAGCAGGAATGGGTGTATTATTAATTATTAAAGTGCCTTCTAACTGATAACAAGATATACAGCATGTCTGTAATACTGGTTGCCAGAAAAATTTCTGATAAAACAAGGTCGTTAAACTGGGTTTTATCGATATTCATACAAAACGAAAAAACTAAGAGATAAGCGCTGCAAAGCGTTTATAATATAATAAAGAATATGTCGATAATCAAGTCGAAACGACCTTCTCCTGCTCGACTCCAAAATAGAATTGCACTGTTCGATGCACAACACCAAAAAGTTTGTGTCTAAGAATTCAAATAAAAAACAAACTGTATTATTCACTTCGAAAAACACTAAAAACCGTTCACAAAGACTCGAGCGATCTTAACACGTTCAAATCAGTGGCGGAACTGAGTGGTATATTTGAAAAGTACTATTTTTCATAATGCCTGAAAGGTAAGTATAATAAAAATTGGATTATTAGGAAAAATATATATTCCCAATAATTACCGTTTCATGCGTGATATGAGCATTGTTTCAATATGTATTCGATTCATAAAAGTAACTAATCGATTCTGTCAATTATTAATCTAGATTTTGTTATTAATTGAAACGTTTGCATGCATATGCCTTACATGATAATCGAAAAGTCTTAGGTTAGAATCACCAAAATTAAACTTAAATTTCTCTGTAATTTATGCATAATTAGCAAATTTGTTTTTTGTTATTTCATATATACACTTTATACTATTTTCTAGTTAAATTTTTTTTTTTCGGAATTCGTGTTTCCATTACGTTTACAGGCACCAAATCTAGAAATTAGAATTTTTAAAAAATTTTTTTTTAATGTTAATTTGGTTTTAATTTTGTTATGTGAATTTTTAGAGTTGAACCACCCCTTTTAAAGAGCCCCGGGTAAAATTTTTATTTTCGGATACTGCGTGTTTCGGGTGTTTCCATATATAAATATAGAAAAAACAAAATTTTTTACACATATTTGTTAAGACATTTTAAAGAAAATTACTTAAAAAATGCTTGTTCCACTTTGTACCTCATTCAAAATTATTAAACTTATCCCCAAATTCTAAATTATGTCTCATTGCTACAAGCGAATACACCAGGTGTTGAAAGCAGTTGGTTTAACATTACGGTGCAAAATCACTGGTTGTTTATTAATTGCGTAATTATAAGTGAGGAAGCAGGGAACCTTTTACGATAACAGTAATTATGAATGAAATTCCTGATTATATTGTGTCTATTAAAAATCCCCTATCTGAACTCTCAAAGATTTAGAAGCAATTTCAGATTTTTAATAAATACCGAGATGAAGTCTGGGTTGAAATAAATATTATAAACAATTTGAAATTGTTTAGTAATTCCAGTTTACTACTAGGCATTTCTAAAAAAAAAAGATTTATAACGTTTTCTTATTTATGATCAAATAAATTAATAATAGAAACATTAAAAAAAAATCTTTTGTGGGTCTGACATATGGAATTATAGTGACATCATTTTATTTCCGTATTTCTCTCAGCAAACCCTTTCATTTGATACCCATATCATTATGGGAAACAAGAAAATTTTGTCTGCCATATTGGAGAGTCCGCCATTTGAAATTATTGCGAGGTTGTTTCATTTTTTTTGTTTTGCTTTCAAAAAACCCCCTTTAATTGATACCTATATTGGATGTGCACGAAAAATAACTAGTACGCCACCTTTGGGAGTTCGCCATATTTGATTTAGAAAAATGTAAACAATAATAATACTTAACATGATCAAATTAGTGAAAGTGAAATATAAGAAACAAGTTTTGAAAAACTTACCTTCTAAAGCTTTGTTTCTAGCCAATAGAGCAAGAAGAACATCAGAATTTGGGGTTCCATCCATAGAATGGGGTGGCATCATGGGCTGGGTGACGGGTGGCAACCCCTGTATGTGCGGTATAGTCCTGGACTGATCCAAAATGGACATATTAGCCTCTGATACCAACTAATACAGGATTATTGCCCTGTTTCAGCAACCTGTAAAAAATAATTAAAAAATAATATAAAAATATTGCCAAAAACGAGGCTAAAAATATATGGGAAAATTTATGTAAAGGGAAATGTTTTCTTTTAATATTCTTGATTTTGATTTTAAAATGCAGTATGTCTACGGACAAATCTAGCCTTGTGGAAATGTGTATCAAAAAAGTGTCACTATATAGGCTCGATGACAAGTTGCTGTTTAAAGTATGAAGACTAGTTTAAAGTAAGGATTAAACGACTATTAGGGACTTTAATTAAAAAATATTTTATTTATTTAAAACAGTTTACTTAATTTATATACACTACGTACTAATTCATTTATTTAATACTTAAGCACTATTATAATTCACATTTTCTTATTTATTTATTTTACAATTTATCTTTACTTGACAACAATTATATTTAAACTTAACACAGTTTCACAGTAACACGTAACACAGACAAAGTTGCGCTATTTATATAAAGCCAACTCTGCTCGAGTAGATTCTCGGCGGTCTAGAATCTCTGGAAATTCTTCCTCTACGAGTCAGTCGGCGCACAAAGATTTCTCTGGTAACTTCTCGAATGAGTGCGTTTGTCTCTGTCCTGCGGTATCGAAACATAGATCCAGCTGCGGTTTGTAACGGCGAGAGGGGACCAGGGTCGGCTGTAGGTGGTTGCATGACATTGATCCTTCTCTTGAAACTTTTAATGAAACTACATGCTTGTATCTGCAACTGGACCCTCTTTTACAATATCCTTTGGAATGAATTTTCCAAAAAAGCAACTTTTCCCCGGAAAACTGTCAATGGGTCACAAACCACCCTTTTTGGGAAACAACGATATACGCTAAAACTGTCCAACTCGACAAGCCGTAGCAAGCTTTTCCCCGTTTTTTTGCAAGTGTTCGAAATTTCTCGCATTGGCCTTCAGTCTGCTATTGAACGTTACTCAGTCCAGTCTATTTTTTTTTGTGTATAGTATAGTATAGTGCGATGTGATCCAACAAAAAGGGTCTATCCGATTTCCGATAGGAACCTCTACGAAATCCTGATACAGTCTTCAGATGACGAGTTTGAAGAAGAAATACCTTTGGAGCAGGCATTTAGTGATTTCTCAGATGTTGAGGACGTAGAAGCTGAGAGACTTGGGGTGTGTCGCGTCCAAGGGGTGACTCACCCCTTCACTGACATATAGTGATTCTAGTTCCCCTAACTCTATAACTTTTGTGTCAAACGGCGTTTCTTTAACTTCTTTATTTTGCGAGATATTCGCTTTGGAAGTTTTCAAATTTACACCCTGTATACTCATCAGTACGTAATTGATCAATAACTGTTTTATTAATGGAAATACGAAAAAGTTTTTAATATAAAAGTTCTATGACCATATTTAACAATTATTCCTATATATACAGGGTGGTTCATAAACGAGGTGCTGTCCAAAGGTATACCTTTTAAAAGCAAAACACCCTGCAGGTAGTTATACGTATTTGATTGTTTTCACATCGTCAAACAATTTTAATTGACTTCATTCATTTGCTGTGTTATACATAGGGTGTGTCAAAACGCGAGGTTACTATTTTCTCAATTTTTTAATTTATGCACAAATGGTTTAATACATATGTATTGCAAACTTGAAAGAACAAACAACTTACCTGTAAGGAAGTTTGTTCTAAATTATACTAGTATATATTGCTTTACTTATGTTATTAATATATTTTTAGTGTAGATTTGATTTTTCTATTCCAATTTTTTAGCTTCTATTAGTAATTCGTTATTATTAATTTTTAGTAGGATCTATGCAATTTATTTAAACATATTATATCAATTTGAGATTAGTTTGTGTAGTAAGAAAGAAAAATGAATCATAATACCTATTCACAAAAAAGGAGATCCTTCCCTAGTAGAAAATTATAGAGCAATTTCTCTTTTGTCTTGTTTTTCCAAAATTTTTGAAATTGCTATATATAACAGACTATTGCCATTTTTAGAAATAAATAATGTTAACAGCAGTCTTTAATTTTGTTGAGAGAATTTTACACTATTTAGATTCGAGAAATATTATTCACGGTTTTCTTAGATTTAACAAAGGCTTTTGATTGTGTGAAAATCACTGTATACTCCTTAATAAATTATACAAAATGGGGGTGCGCAATAATGCATATGACTGGGTTCAATGTTATGTTTCAAATAGAACACAACGGGTTTGTTTTAAATATGACAATAGCGAATATTACTCTGAATCAAAAAATACTATGCTGGGTGTTTCACAATGAAGTGTCTTATGTCCTATTTTATTTGTATTATATCTAAACGATTAACCAACATTTTTTTACAAATGATTCTATAGCTCTCACTAATTATGCTGATGATACAAATGTCTTACTATCTAGAAACAATTACAAAGTACTTGAAAAAGATACCTCAAATGCTGTAGAGACAATTTCAAAATGGTTTGGTGAAAACTCGCTAATAATAAATTTATCTAAAACTAATTGCATACTTTTCAAGCACAGTCGTAATAAAAATGAATATCCAGAGGATATTAACTCATGTAATACATTACTAAAATATTCTAAATCGACAAAATTTCTCGGCGTAATAATTGATGAGCATCTAACTTAGGCGGAACATCTAGATTCACTTTGTAAAAGGCTAATCAGAGCTTGCTTTGCATTAAAACAAGTTAAAAAAGTCGTAGATCATTCTTATCTTATATCAGTGTATTATGGTTTATTCTATTCTTCCATGTGCTATGGAATTATTTTTTGGGGGATGTTGCCACTGTCAAGAAGTCTTTGTAATACAATAAAGAGCAATTCAATTATTGGCTAATCTAAAGCTTACAGAATCATATAGAGGTCACTTTAAAAATCTAAATTTGTTGACACTATATGCTAGTTACGCATATGAGTGTATTATGTTTGTGTATAAAAGTAAAAAGTATATTTAACGAATATATATCAGACCATCTTCACAACACCAGGTATAGAAATAATTTTTATCTACCGACGCACAGTACTATCCTACTGGAAAAGGGATGCTGTTACCAATGGTTGCAATTTTATAATATGCTTCCTGATCTTTTATAAAATACTAGAGCCTTAGGTATAGCTTAGATGATGTACACGAAGTGATTGTAAGTAATTATTATTTGTAAATACTTTGTGAAATGGACTATATAGTAGTTTTCAATGGTAATATGGATTTTACTGGGTTTCCTCATATTTCTTAGCAAATGCACCACTATATTCATTTTTAAGTCATCAAACTAGTACAGAATATCCTGATTTCTGACTTATATCATACAATTTTATACGTATTTTTTTATGTATAATATTGTTCCTGGCTTTAATAAATATTATTATTATTATTATCATCATCGGTTTACATTAGTTGACAAAATATAGTAAAAAATAAAATATTTACTGTAAAAATATAATAGTACCTTTATAAATTTAACATAGAAAGAAACACATAAACAAACACTTCTATAACCACAAGTTATAATAAACTACCTGATTTTTTTCTTTTTTACCATAGTAATGCATTACAATCCGCACTCTACGTACTTAATTGTGTATCTTTTTTATAACACAACTTTATCTGTTTTATTTATTATTCGTTCCGCTATCTCTATTATAAAATACGGGCGACCGACGGCGGTACTAGATTAAGATTTTTTTATAGTACTTAATAAGTAAATAAGACTTAATCTGTGTTTGCATTGCGGTAGTGCTTCATTTGAAACAATATTTGATTGTGCTGTGCTGTTGAGGTTGCAAAAATCTGTAAAGAAAAATACAGTAGTTTGTATTACTACGTACTGAGTTTATATTATGATATGATGGGAACGTGGAAAATTCTCGGAAAAATTTCTAGTTCTACATATGTGACAAGAAATCAATTACACACTTTTGATGATTCGAATAAGTTGATCAATTTCAATTATGATGTAAGAGTGCTAGGACTTGATTTGAGCAACCATTATTATAAGTAACAATGTGAGCCTACCTTAATACACTCAGGTGCAAAAATTCGATCCTTATCTTTTTTTGTTTTGATGAAGAAGAAAAACATTTTGAGATTTTACTTTAAGGTCCGGTATAGACGGAAAAGTATGTATTAAATTTCAATAAGACTTACAATTTATACAAAAAAAAAAAATTTATTTATAGAGACATACAGCACAATTCGAAAATATGACAAAACTTTCTGGAATAAAAAAAAGGTTATAAGAAAATGTAGTTGATATAATAAGATAATTAATATTTAGAATTTCTTCCTTTGGCCCTTATAACAGCTTGAAATCGTCTCGGCACCGAGGTAATTAACTTCTGGATATTAAATTTGTCTTATATTATCTGAAGAGTCGTACCATGCTCAGCCAAGTTGTTTGGACGATGTATCTGTGCTCGAATACCTCTCCCCATTGTATCCCATAAATGTTTAATTGGAACCAGATCGAGACTGCAAGCTGGTCAGTTCATCCGAACAATTCCCACCTCTTCTAAATATGCATCGACACTTGCTATCGTCCATAAAAATAAAATTGGGTTCTATGAACGAAGCAAAAAATATCAATGTTGTTCTAAAATGATTGTTATGTATTTTTCAGCTGTCATTGAACCTCTATCCACAATAACAAGATCAGTACGAGCTTCGGAACTTATACCAGCCCAAACCATATTATGAATGTTGCTCTCCTCGTCTTCTATAAATTATTTCGAGGCCGATTGGTGACCTCGAATAAAACATGGACTAATCCGAGAACAATACGTTGGCCCAATCTGCGTCATTTCAGTTTTCCTATTCTCTTGCAAAGGGAAGTCGAGCTCTGTGATGTTCTGCGGATAGCAGTGGACATTGGGCTGGTCTTCTGGATAACAAATTATGTTCAACAAGTCATCGACGAACTGTCCATC